GCTGCTATTGATTATAGTGAGAAAATTCAGTGGAGTTAAAGCATTTCATTTCTCTGGGTTTTTTTATTTTTGAGATGGATCGCTGTCACCAGCCTGGAGTGCAGTGGCGCAGTCTTGACTCACTGCAACCTCCAACTCCCTGGTTCAAGCGATTCTCCTGCCTCAGCCTCCCAAGTGGCTGGGATTACAGGCACGTGCCACCACACCCAGCTAATTTTTGCATTTTTAGTAGAGATTGGGTTTTTTTTGTTTGTTTGTTTGTTTTTGAGACAGAGTTTCACTCTTGTTACCCAGGCTGGAGTGCAATGGCGCGATCTCGGCTCACCGAAACCTCCGCCTCCTGGGTTCAGGCAATTCTCCTGCCTCAGCCTCCTGAGTAGCTGGGATCACAGGCACGCGCCACCATGCCCAGCTAATTTTTTGTATTTTTAGTAGAGACGTGGTTTCACCATGTTGACCAGGACGGTCTCGATCTCTTGACCTCGTGATTCACCCGCCTCGGCCTCCCAAAGTGCTGGGATTACAGGCTTGAGCCACTGCGCCCGGCGAGATTGGGTTTTACCTCAATCTCCTGACCTCATGATCTGCCTGCCCCAGGCTCCCAAAGTGCTGGGACTACAGGCATGAGCCACTGCGCTGAGTTAAATAATTTCTAACAGCTCATCTAGCAGTTAACAGGAATCTTAGGAACCAGGACCGTCTCATCATTGAAATGACTTTCCCTAGACTGTGGTTGTATTGTACTGTTTTAAGTTTTAATAAAGATCAAGTCTAATACGTGTTCTAATATCTCAGTACCTAAAAAAATTCAAAATCATGTACTACTTAAGAAATGTGTCACTTTGTAAACCTTCACTAGTTCGTTTACTATGTTGCATGAATCACGGAGAAAAGGCTGGACTAATATAAATAGAAGGGAAAAGGAGGATTTTTAAAAACCACAATTACTTCCCGTAGCAATTGCATACACAGTCAAGCTTGCACGTTTACTACGTAATCTTTAACACAATCATGAAAAAGGTTACATTTACCTTTCAAAAATATTTGATAAGCTTTCTGGACAAAGTTTACTGATAAAAAGTGTGCATGTTTAGCACACTAGTCCCCAAGCTGTTCTATTGTGGACCCCAAGTAAAACTTTGAGTGTCTCCAATGTGTAGTTATACAGACTGCACTACAGTACTAAAAGGGTATGTATATTATAAATACACAGAAGTTGGCTGGGCGTAGTGGCTCACGCCTGCAATTCCAGCACTTCAGGAAGCTGAGGCAGGCGGATCACCTGAGGTCAGGAGTTCGAAACCAGCCTGACCAACGTGGAGAAACCCTGTCTCTACTACAAATACAAAATTAGCTGGATGTGGCAGCGCATGTCTGTAATCCCAGCTACTCGGGAGGCTGAGGGAGAATCGCTTGAACCCGGGAGGCAGAGGTTGCAGTGAACCAAGATCAGGCCATTGCACTCCATCCTGGGCAACAAAGAAAAACTCCATCTCGAAAAAAACAAAACAAAACAAAACAAAAAAAAACAGACGTTTAAAATGAGTAAGAATAGTAATGATATCTAAGTGTTTTTGTTCACCGAGGTATTAATTTTAGTAAAAGCAATGATTGACTCAGTTTAGAAAACCATACTTTTATACTTTGATGTAACAATTTAAAATCTAGAACACATGGACACAGGGAGGGGAGCACTACACACGGGTCTGTTGGAGGGAAATAGGGGAGGGACAGCGAGGGGTGGGGAGTTGCAGGGGGATGGCATGGGGAGAAATGCCAGATATAGGTGAGGGAGAGGAAGGCAGCAAATCACACTGCCGTGTGTGTACCTATGCAACAATCTTGCATGTTCTTCACATGTACCCCAAAACCTAAAATGCAATTAAAAAAAAGAAAAAAAAAATCTAGGTGTAAGTTTGGCACTTGATTTTAACAATTATCACAGGTAAAAGGTTCCTAAGTAATATGTTTAGAATTTGCATGAAAATCTCCAGCAAAAAAGGGGTGAGAAAAGACGAAACAAGCTTAGCAGCCCATCAGCACCTGCTCAAGCTGGGCGCTGGGACGGAGACCCACCACTGATTCTGCTATTCTTTTGAACATGACCGAAAACTTGACTGAGTTTTTTTGTTTTTTTTAAAGACCCCTTACAAAGATAGATGCAAACAGAAGCATATTTTTTGGCTATGCTTCCTCTCTAGCAAATGTGCAAGTTTTTGTTCAAAATCAACCAAAATTTTCCATCTTTCTTGGTATTCTGGTCACCTTTGTTCTTGCAAAGTAATTGAAAGGGATTATTAATAGATTCGAAGCCAACTGAGACTCTTCATAAGCATCTTAAATAGGTAAGAATACCATTTCCAAGTGTTTATGTTACTGATACCTTACATGTCAATGTAACTTTCACCTAAAATGGAAGCATTTCCCAATGGACATCTTCGCATAAGCTCATTCCTTACACTAATTTCTAAAAACAATTGTTTTCTCACATAATGTCAAAGTTTCTTCTTTTCCTGGAGATGGATTTTTTAACGTCTACTAGGTATACTATTGATAGCCACTCACATCATAGGAAAATCAGAAAATTCAGAAGTTGTTTGTTCTTTTGGTACAGAGTCTCGCTTTTGCCACCCAGGCTGGGGTGCCGTGGCACAATCTCGGCTCACTGCAAACGCCACCTCCCGGGCTCAAGCGATTCTCCTCAGCCTCCTGAGTAGCTGGGATTACAGGCGCCTGCCACTACACTTGGATAATTTTTGTATTTTTAGTAGAGACAGAGTTTCACCATGTTGGCCAGGCTGGTTTTGAATTCCTGACCTCAGGTGATCCGCCCACCTCGGCCTCCCAAAGTGCTGGGATTACAGGCGTGAGCCACCGCGCCTGGCCCAGAACATTTTTTAAAAGGAAAATTCATGGCCAGGCATGGTGGCTCATGCCTATAATCCCAATACTCTGGGAGACTGAGGCAGGCAGATCACCAGAGGTCAGGAGCTTGAGACCAGCCTGACCAAAATGGAGAAACTGTCTCTACCAAAAATACAAAATTAGCTGGGTGTGGTGGCAGGCACCTGTAATCCCAGCTACTTGGGAGGCTGAGGCAAGAGAATCGCTTGAACCCGGGAGGCAGAGATTGCAGTGAGCCAAGCAAGATCGTGCCATTGCACTCCAGCCTGGGCAACAAGAGTGAAGGTCAGTCTCAAAGGAAAAAAAAAAAAAAAAAAAAGTGTAAATCTTGTTCCCTAAACCAGTGAATCTGTGAATGATACTGGCAAGCTTCACAACTTCCTCAGAGCCAAACTTTCAACCACCTAATCCAACCCAAAGACCCCTGTAACTGCTTCTATGTAATTGCAGTGTAAGCTGATAAAGCCAAGACTGAATTTGCTGGTCGGAGGTGAAGGTACCTCCAAATTTAACACGTGCCATCCTCTGTAAGGTTAAAAGGATCATCTTCACGGCCCCTCTGAGGACTCTCAGCTTATTGAGCTGAGGCAAGTCCAGCTTAATGAAGGACATACTTAAAAACCTCTGGCACTAATTAGCTACTGCTTTGAAAAGAACTCTATTACAGAAATTTAATACATATCATGAAGTAGGTAATGTCACTTTATATGCCAGAAAACTGAGGCTAGCGTGGCGACACCAACAGAAAACTACTTAGGATTATGCTCAAGTAAAAATATGCATTACCCGCAGCAAATCAGATCAGTTCCCAGGTTTATGGCCACAAAAGCTGAAACGTTCCTGTTACCCTCCTCCAGCATTTTCTCAAGACCAATACGCTACATGAGATGGCAGGCATGAAGCCTCCCAAAAACCACTTAACACAGATGGCCAGGAAAGTGGGTGGAGCTCCGTGCTGGAAAAGGGTGAAAATAGGTCTGCAGAACCCGGGCCTAAGTAAACACCTCATTCCAGAGAAACCAAGGCAACCCCAAGGACCGAGGGACTACTGAGGATAAGGGGCCAGCCTTGGTAACTGTTTGCAGGGGCACCTTCTTCACTCACCTACAAAGGCCTCAGCCAAGTATGAACACGAGCACTTGCCCAAGGTTTGAAGCAGCCAGTACGCCTGCGCCACGTTCATTCTGCCTCTGGGACAGCAGCAGGAGTCTGGCACTCACTTGCAAAATAGGAAAATACTATCATGTCCCCTCAAAGCCTCCCCGGAATTAGTCTACCTGAAGGAGTGATTTGATGCAAACGTGTTGTTTGCAGCTGTTCAGTAAGATTAATTCTTCACCCTATATAAGCAGGAAGGTAAGTTTTACGAGGTAATTTCAAAGCTTCTCCATACCTGAAAGCAACTCAGCAAAAAGCCGAAACAGGCAGTATTCTCAAGGCGTCTGCTGCACTCTACAAAGACCTGGTAGTCAGTCACCTAATGCTCCTCCACGGTCCCCACTTCAGAGCTTTCATTTCACCCAGTGCCTTCATTTGATGAACTGGAAAGCTAAGTTAGTGGGGAACTGCACTACTCAAGTCTACACACCATCTAGCAAATAACAAATCTGTTTATCAGATCCTTACATTTAACTTGCGAAAAGTCCATTTAACACCTAACATGGATTTACGTATTAAAAATTCAACGAATCTGAGGAGACGAGAAGTGGAGTTGTTGTTTAAAGAGTAGTTTCAGTTCTGCAAGATGAAGAAGTTCCAGAGATCTGTTTCCCAACTTTGCAGATGTACTTAGGCTACTGAGTCATTAACTTAAAAATGGGTAAAACAGAAAATTTTACTTATATCACAGTAAAAAAAAGTGCCTGGTATATTTTTAGTTTGAACCATGCAGAAGTGCCGATACTCAGCTATTTCTGCGGTCTCATGTGATGACACCTGACGGCACATCCCGAACACAAGCAGAACCTCACAGACATCAAGCTTCCTCGCAGACACCCTCCTGCTGAAATCCTCCAGCCCACACAGGACGCTACTGGTACTGAAGACAGCTGTGCATATGTGAATTTGGAATTTTGAAAAACAAGCCTCAAACAGAGTACTGTGAATGTATTTTTTATTTAGTCATTCTGTTTACAATTGAAACTCTGGGAATTCAAAATTAACATCCTTGCCCGTGAGCTTCTTATAGACACCAGAAAAAGTTTCAACCTACAAGAAAAGAAAAAATTCATCACAAAACTTTGAAATATACACACTCAGCTTAAAACCTAATCATTTTGTGAAACTGTGTCCTCTATGGTTTTCCTCCTCAGCAACCAAGTACCGAGGATAAGGAATACTCAGGCCATGCACACAGAAGTCTTCCGACTGGGGACAAGCTCCTCTCCAATGTTACGTGACAGGACTCTACACCACTCTGCTCCTCTGCGCCACACGGACAAAGCCACCAGGGGACCCCAGCAGTCGTCCACATGGTTATGTCCTGATCAGTTATGACAACTGATACCATCATCATCACCCACCCCTAACTTACCAAGAATACACAGCCTATCTAAAAGACCACAGAATTGTTCTGCTTCCAAAAGGTACAGAGAATTTCAAGGGTTCAGTTCTTGAAATATCTCCATTTAAAACCTGACACATAATCCAAAGGACAGCAGGCTGAAGTGCGGGTGAAAAGAGCTGGCCCCGAGTGTACAGTCATTGCTCTGGGGGCGCATGAGGCAGGTTACACTACGGTCCGCTCTCACTGTGGCTGAACCTTTCCACGAGAACATGTTGATCTGTTACCTTGTGTTCCACATTGTTCTGCTGTGCTTTGTCCAAATGAACCTTTATGAGCCGGCTGCCATCCAGTTTCACGCGGATTCTCTTGCCCACAATTTCACTTGGGAAGACCAGGTCCTCAAGGATTGCATCGTGCACAGCTGTCAGTGTACGGCTAAAAGAATAGTTAAAAAGTAAGTAGCCTAGCAATGCCCACCCTCCAATTCGAGGGCACCTCTTAAATGAAAATGCAAATCCCAGATTCCTGAAGTCAAATTAACCCTTGTTTTCAAATAAGCTTGTTATACTTCATGTACCTAACTAAAGCCTTTGCCTACTTAGAATAGGGTAACAGCTTATTGATTTATTTTAAAAGCTTAGTCAATTTTAAATGTTACTCTGGGGTAAGCTACAAACTCACCAAGGCAATGAGTGACCATCTCAATGTGAGATTAGTGAGGCCTTTTATACATCTTCATTTTCACTTGTTTAATTTCTTAACCAAATCACTACAATAACCTTTTGCTCATCTCCAAAACCACCCCCCTTCCAATGTCAAGGTAATCTTTCTAAAAAACTGGTATGATCACGTAATTTACCTATAAAAGACCCTTCAAGAGCTCTCCTAGATAGACCTCCAAGATACCATCAGAACTCCTTGTTCTCTAGGATCAAATGAGGCAACATTCCATCCCAAGGCACTGTTCCATCACCAGCTCCAGGACAGCTGCCCCTCCTCGCTCATGAGGGTCTTTGATTTTCAACCCATCAGCGTCACAAAAACTGCCAGTGCACTCTTGCTCCTCATCTGAATATCTCTCTCTTTTTTTTTTTTTGAGACGGAGTTTCGCCCTTGTTACCCAGGCTGGAGTGCAATGGTGCGATCTCGGCTCACCGCAACCTCCGCCTCCTGGGCTCAGGCAATTCTCCTGCCTCAGCCTCCTGAGTAGCTGGGATGACAGGCACGCGCCACCATGCCCAGCTAATTTTTTGCACTTTTAGTAGAGACGGGGTTTCACCATGTTGACCAGGATGGTCTCGATCTCTCGACCTCGTGATCCACCCGCCTCGGCCTCCCAAAGTGCTGGGATTACAGGCTTGAGCCACCGCGCCCGGCATCTGAATATCTCTTACCAAGTTCAAAACCTACCTACTTGCTACCTAACAAATGAGTTTCAATTAACTGCAAGCTTTTAGGAGAGCTACCATGTACTATGAGACGGTTCTTAGCTTCGGCATTTATGGAGCTGCCTTGTACATGGCTATCTGTCTAGGTCTCACCCCACAGTAGCTAACAGTAACACTATAGTCTACTCATTTGTATTTCCTATCTGGCAGCGTCCATAAACACCATTAACATTTTCCGGTGGCTCTCAATTTTACTGCCACTATCTTAATGTTCCACAGCCACAAAGGGCAAAAACTGGAACAAAGTCCATTCCCCAAAGCCCTCATCACCTTTCAGAAAGCAAATAAATCAAGACAACTGGACTGTTCATTGCAAGTCATTAATTAAGCACATTCTTACAATATTAGGAAAGCACCCAATACGGAAACCAGATTTCAATGTTACCTACTACCTTTTTAAATGGGGAGCAATGGCACCACACGTCAACTACCACAAACCACAGGGACTGGCGCGCTTCAGAGGAAAACCCTGCTATACCCGAAACCTGGATCAGTTTCGGCACTTAACCTGAGTTAGGTAACGGTAGCTGTACGGAACAGGGAAAACAAATCTGCAAGTAGGAAGCCAGATTGGAAAAGTGGTAGATTCACTGTGACCTACCAACCAGGCTTAGTGTGAAAGAGGAAAGGCTTTCAATGTACATGCTGGATCACACTAGAAACACTGTGAAGCCTTTGTCTGAGAAAATTTGGAAAACACAGATTTGTACTGAGAGGGAACTAAAGCTACAGATTTGAGGGACAGTCCTTTAGCTGTGCAGAAAGCAAAGGGACTGGTTTTTTCCACCCCCCACCTTTTTTTTGAGACAATCTTGCTCTATCGCCCAGGCTAAAATGCAGTGGTGCTATCTCAGCTCACTGCAATCTCCACCTCCCTGGGTTTATTTTTACTTTTTTATTATTTTTTTTTTATTTGGGCATACCAGCATCCAGATTGGGTTTAAGCAGTAATTATCCTGCCTCAGCCTCCTGAGTAATTGGGATTACAGGCACCCACCACCACACCCGGCTATTTTTGTATTTTTGGTAGAGCCAAAGTCTCACTATGTTGGTCAGGCTGGTCTTGAACTCCTGACCTCAGGTGATCCACCCACCTCAGCCTCCCAAAGTGCTGGGATCACAGGCATGAGCCACCGCGCCCAGCCGAAGTGGCTGTTTTTATACTCATTTCCTAACTCAGGTTCTCAGAACTAAGTTTCCAAAACGCTCTTTAAGTGTCATGATTTTTAAAAATTACATTTTCTAGGTCACAGAATTCCAGTTCTAGAAAACCTAGCACCCACCTTTCCACATACATAATACAATAAACACATTACCAGATTCCCAACACTTTCTATTTTCTAGTGGTTTTCAGAACCAGACTGAATTTTTTTTTAATCTTCTTAGCATTACTAGGTTTAGCTGCAATGAGCAAATACTCCAAGCCCAGACCAGTTTTCTCATCCACTGAGGACAGCAATACAAATTATACATTTCACAGGGTACAGGCGTAACGACAAGATTTGTTTTCTCGAACTCATCCCTAGGGAAGAGTCCCCAGGGATTTAATAGTTCCCATTTGTAAAACAATGTACAGAGACTAACAAAATATCAAAAGATCTAGTTAAAGACAAGTACCAATATTTGAGTTTATGCTATAACCTGTAAGTCAATCAGGTTCACATATCACTTCCATTGGCGTCTTCAACTGCAGTGATGTCACCAAAATCCACCTATGTTTTTCACTTCCAATCCACAGCAAAAACAAAAATCAAAGATAAATCCAAGCCCACGTCCACTATGTCTAGCAGGCTCCATCACACAGAATTAAAGTAATGATTTCCTTCTCATCATTCCTATCCTGTGCACAATCGGAGGAAATCATCTCATTTCGTGACAGCACCGACCTACTAGACATAAAATGACTCTGAGAATACATTTGTTTTACATCTAGAATTCTAAAACACGTCACGTGCAACTATAGAGAAAACCAAATGCTGTTACTCAAAAATTCCCATTTGAGTATCTTCTGTTTTTATAAACTAAAACTTACACAAACTGAGTTGTTAATATGAGGGGTACAGACATTTCTGAAACCGCTAAAATACTCACCTCCTGGGACGCTTTTGTTTATTTTTTGTACGGCTTTTTCGAGTTGGCTTAGGCAGAATTCTCCTCTATAAAGCAAAAATTACCATATGACAAAATTAAGACCTTAAATTTACAAAAAACTAAAACTGTCAAACTGCTTTAAAAGCAAGAAGAGTGGCAGGGTAAGTTCAAAGTTCGAGAAAGCTGCACAACCTAGACCAAACAATCTACTGAGAAAATCCTTCTATGGAGTTACTTCCCGATTCTTGAATAACTCAGAATCCACAGCTTCTATTAATATGCCAGTGGTAAAAAAGCTCCCAGGTATGCCTTTCCCCATGCCTACTGGGCCAGAATAAATACTACTTTTCTTCCTGATCAATCCTAGCACTTCATTCCCCAGAGACTTCAGTTCACGGCAAATCCAGATCTGAACTCTAACAGGTTTCTCAGACTGATCATCTCGGTAAGCAACACACCACACTTGCGAAATTTAATTTTAAATGCAGGAAATCATTTTTATAACTCAAAACACAGCAGACTGTCACTTTACAGATTTCTTGTTTCAACTCTTAGTTAAAAAGTATACTTTATCTTTCTTTTTAAAACTTCTTGTTTTTCTGTTTCTTGTAGACAGGGTTTCACCATGTTCCCAGGCCGGTCTGTAAAGTGATCCACCCGCCTCCACCTCCCATGAGCCCCCGCGCCCTGCCTGTACTTCATCTTTCTACCCAGTGCAATCAACTTACCTAAAAGGATTGTTTTCATGACTCCAACTACCAGTGCAGTCTAAACACAAGCAATTTTAGCCAAATTCAAGAACAGAAACGTTAACAGTAGAACTGATACCTGAGCGATAAAGACAACATGCTTCCCACTGAACTTTTTCTCCAATTCGCGTACTAGCCGGACTTGGATTTTCTGGAAAGATTTTAGTTGAGGAACAGGAACAAAGATTATGATAGCTTTCCGGCCACCACCAACTTCAATCTCCTAAGATAAAAAAAAAAAAAAACCCTTTGTTAACTGCTTCAGAAAGTAAAAAAACGCTGTGGTCACATCAGAGTCTAAGACCCCATCATCACCATCGCAGCTGCACTACAAACGCACACTAGTTCTGAGTTCACGTTCAGTGCAACCTTCGGAGATGTTCTCATCTCTCACCAATCTTCGTATTTCCTTATGCCAGGAAGACAGGAGAACGGGCAGGCCTGAGGTCAGTCACCGCCACCTGTGCGCGCCCGCACGCGGCCAAGTCCGCCTCCCAGGAGCTCCCCAAAGCTCTCTGCCGTACTTGTCATTCGGTCAGGGCCAGCAAGGTCCCGAACGGGCCCAGGCCCTCCCGGCGCCACGTTTCTCCCCTGCCTGCCCGCCGACAGCGACGGCTTCAAGTGCAGGCGACCTGCGACCCCACTCCCCGCGCCGGGGCGGCGTCACTCCCTAACACAGCGGAGCCTGAGTTCGGCTGAGGCGGCCGGGCGACAAGTCACCATCGACCGTAAGCCAAGGCAGGCGACAACCCTCGCAGGCGGCGCGGGGGACGCGCCGCGACCCCCCTCCCGCCGAGGGAGCCCCAGCTTACCTTGGCCGCCGTGATATTCAGCTCCCTGAGCTGAGCCTTGAGGTCCGAGTTCATCTCCAGCTCCAGAAGAGCCTGAGAAGCACACAGCAGCAGGGCCGGCCCTGAGCGCGCGCCCGAGCCCCCCGCGGCCCGCGCACACGCGGCCGCCCGCCCCCCCGCGCGGGGCGCCTCCGCCCACCCCGGACCTCGGGGAACCCTCTCACCTGGGAGATGCCGGACTCGAACTCATCTGGCTTCTCGCCATTGGGCTTCACGATCTTGGCGCTCGAACTGAACATGGCTTTCTCCTGGGAGAACAGGAGGCACAGCGGTCAGCGTGACGCGGCCGGGGCTGCAGGCGCCGCCGGCTCGCCCTCCTGCCCGCACCGCCCCGCACCGCACCCCGCTCCCCGGCCCGGCCCCGCTCGCCCCGCAGAAGCCATCGGAGGGCACAGGCCGGGTAATCGGCTGTATCTCCACCCGGGGAGCAAGGCCCGCCGCTCCCGGGCTGACTCCAGAAGGCGTTTTTTTCAACGGAGGCAAAAAAGTCCTACCCGACCGGTAACGACCAACGTACCTTGGTTGAGCGCCGACTTAGGAAAAGACTCAAACCTCGCGAGAGCACGTCAAAATCCGGCGGCGTAAGGGAAGAGGCGGAAACAGCGCGAGGAGAAAGGCGAGAACCGGAAAACCACTGAGAAGCGGTCGCAAGCTAGAGAGTCCCAGGAAGCGGCTCCGGGGACGAGTGTCTTGGTAACGCTCTTCCGTCCTAGGATCCGTAGTTTGGTGCCGTTCCCGAGCGTTCCGGTACCCGCTCCCAAGGTTCCTGTCTTCATTGTGGGTGGGCAGGCGGGAACCGGCCTCGTCCCAGCCCTGGTCCTGGGCGAGAGAAGGAGACCGAAGAACACCAACTCCGGCAACCGCCTGAGACGGGACGTTTAAAAAGGCTAACTTGCCTGGGCGCTGAGGCTCACGCCTAGAATCCCAGCACTTTGGGAGGCCCAGGCAGGCAGATCACCTGAGCTCAGGAACCAGCCTGGGCAACATGGCGAGACCCTAGGACTACCAAAAAAAAAAAAAAAAAAAAAAATTAGCCTGTCACGGTGGCGCGCGCCTGCAGCCCCAGCTACTCCGGAGGCCGAGGCGGCGGGAGAGGCGGGACGACAGCCGGACCTGAGAGCTCAAGGCTGCAGTGAGCCGAGGTCGCACCGCTGCACTCCAGCCTGGGTGACAGAGCAAGACCCTGTCTAAAAATAAATTTTTAAAAAAATTATGAGGCCTTCACTCTATGCTAGTACTGTACTAGGTGCTAATTTTTAAGTCAAACCGAGTGAACTCTTGCGCTCATGGCGCTTACAGTCTAGTGGAGAAGACGTTAAATAAACGGTATGACTAAACAGAATGACAAATTGTAATAACTTACATAACAGTAAAATGAGAGATTGAGGAGGAATTATTTACGCTTTAAGAAGTCGGGAATCCCGGAACAGGATGGCATTTACCGGAGACGTGGAAAGCCGCAGGGTCTATCGCCTGGGGAAGAGCATTCCGGACAGGAACTCATTCTGAATGATCCGGCCGTGGACAAGTGATTTAACCTGAGCTTCAGTTTCCTCTTCTGTCAAAGGTCATGCAAGAGTTATTTTCTACCGTGGGCCAGGCACTGTGAAAAATACAAAAACATTACACTCGGTGCCCTTTCAGGATTCCCACCACCTTTGCTGAGCAGAGATGGGATTCATCTCACATTTGTAATGCTGGGTGTGCTCCCAGCCCATGCTTCTCTAACAGTGTTCTGTAAAAAGGGCAGGTGACTGTCTCCTTGGAAAATTAAGGGATACCTTGAGGTTTTTTCCAAATAGAAAGGAAACTACAGCTGCATCTACAGTCTCATCTGGGCAGTCATTCTGTGGCCCCTTGTGGAGCTAGCTGCATTTCCTTACTCCACATGCACTTTTCGACCTGGCTTTTATCTCTGCTGCTCTATAAAAGTAGCAATCTAAAAGTTCATCCGGTTCATCTTTCTCTGTGAACCTATGAATTGAGAAAAAATTAAAGTTCTTTCTGGTTTCCAGCCCTTTGTTGAATGGGAGTGGTGAGCAAGGACACCCGCCCCTTGTTCCCCATCTTAGGAGAAAGCATTCAGTCTTGCACCATTGAGGATAATATTAGCTCTAGGGTTTTTGCAGATATTTTTAATGTAATTCAGGAAATTCTCCTCTATTCCTGCATTTCTGAGTTTTTTTTTTTTAAATCATGAATGGATGTTGGAGTATGTCAAATGCTTTGTGTCTATGAACTAATATGATGATGTGAGTTTTTCTTCTTAGCCTTTTAATATGCTGGACTACAAACTCCACTCAGTCATGACATATAATTATTTTCCACATTGCTGCATGTAATCATTGAGGATTTTTTTGTATCTGTGTAAGGATGGAAAACAGGGTCTGGAGGCAGGAACATAAGGCCGACTCACACTTCAGCCGTGACAGGAAATACCCTCTCCATAGTAAATGACTTTATAACTTCATCCTCCTCATTTACATGGGGCATACCCCAAGTAACCAGTGGAAACCTCTAGAGGGTATTTAAACTCCCGGAAATTCTGTAGCAGGTCTTTGGGCCCCTGTGCCCGGGCTGCTCCCACGCCGTAGTGTACTTTCATTTGCTGTACATCGATCAGCCTCGGCTACTATTCTCCCTGGATGCTCAGATTGTCTCAGTTATGGCCAGGAGGGGCCCCTCTTAGATAAGCACCCGAGTCTTGTCATCTCCATGAATGTCTGAACATCGTCTTGTTGACTGGCATAAGATGTTCCAGGCTCCTCTTGTAATTTTCTTCCTGAGACATAGAATGAGCCTTTTCTCCTAGAAGTGCTGATACTTTTTTTTTTTTCCCAAAAAAATAGTGCTAGAGACCAGACTTCACAGCAGGAAGCATTGTGGGGTCCTCATAAGCCATTTCAGTGGACAGAGCTTAAAAAGATGCATTTAAAATAATTTTTTGTAAAAGATACAAGCTCACAATGACATTCCCAAGCCACTTCTGACAGGAGAGTTCCTTCTGAAAGCCTTAGCTCTATCATAGCATCTCTTTTTCTCCTGTAATAAAAACTTGATAAACACAAAAATACAATTACTTACTTGCTTTATCTGACAATATGAGAAAATACATTCAAAGTAACAATTCAGGTGGGCCACAGTGGCTCACACCTGTAATCCCAGCACTTTGGGAGGCCAGAGTGTGTGGATCACTTGAGGTCAGGAGACCAGCCTGGCCAACATGGTAAAGCCCCATCTCTATTAAAAATACAAAAATTAGTCAGGTGTTGTGGTACATGCCTGTAGTCCCAGCTACCTGGGAGGCTGAGGCATGAGAATCACTTGAACCCAGCAGGTGGAGGTTGCAGTGAGCCAAAATTGTGCCACTGCACTGCACTCCAGCCTGGGTAGCAGAGTGAGACTTTGTCTCAAATTTTAAAAAAAAATCAGTATGTATATTTTTTGAGGCAGGGTCTTGCTCTATGGCCCAGACTGGAGGGCAGTGGCATGATTATGGCTCACTGTGGCCTTAACCTCCCCAGGTTCAGGTGATCCTCCCATCTCAGTCTCCCAAGTAGCCGGGACTACAGATGTGTGCCACCATGCCCACCTAATTTTTTGTATTTTTTAGAGAGGCGGTTTCACCCTGATGCCCACCTGGTCTCAAAATCCTAAGCTCAAGCAATCTGCCCACCTCAGCCTCCCAAAGTGCTGGGATTACAGGCGTGAGCCACCAATTCAATATTAATATAACCCATACAATTACTCAACAAAATTCAAAAACGTCTCATGCGATCTGCAGTGTGTTTGCATTTTCTGCAGTTACTCTTCATCTCCCGCTCTGCTGTCTGTTGGTTCTCTGGTAGTTTAGGTCAACAGTTTTGGCTCATTTTCAGTTTGAGGATTAAGTTTACAAAAGGGGATGGCTTTCAGCTACTAGAAGAGAGAAGGTTCTATTCTACCTTTCAGTGATAGAAAGAACTTCAACAGCTCCATCTCCAAAATTATTTAAATGGATTCATTTAGCTACCATCTGGAGTTACCCATCCACAATACACCAGTACACAGCTTCACAGCAGCCACAGAAATAACTGCTAGCTGAACTGCTAACTGCCTCCTGCTTTTAAATCTCAAGGAAGATCAGAACTCAGGTATTTCACATATTCATAAAAACCTCTAAATATCCTAATTTCTGTTTTGATCTTTCAAGCTTTATAGTTTTCTTGATGTTCATGTAAGCTACAAGTTGTCTTTCACTTTCTACCATACAATGTTCCTTTCCAGTCTAGCATACATGGTCATACCAAGGCCAAATGATTCACCTGATGCTTTGATCTTGATAATTCCAGACTGCACTGCGAACACACCCCTCATTGAGCAAGTTGCTCTTCCATCATTGCGGGGAGGAAAACACACACCCTGAGCAACCGTGGGACATCTGCTAAGGACGTGTTAGGAAACAGGAATAGATTCCGGTTTGTGTCGGGAATTTGGGGGAGGGCTTGAGGAAGGGGGACTTTGTTTTGCATTGGATGCTGTCACAAAGCTGGAGTGACTCTGTGGTTGGGTGTCTTAAGTTTCATTTTTAGTGAGAGCAGACGAGCACCAGCCCTCAGCTGCAGCTGCTAGAGAAGCAGCCGTCACTCCTGCTAACCAGGAGAGTAGGACATTTTGTCGCTTCAACAGTGTTCATATTTTGCCTGGGTTCAGACGTGATTTTGGAGTGGTCTTGTTTTGCTCTTCATCAGTCATGGGTTACTGTAGACTTACCTGCTTTTGACCTTTCATTGTTGTTGTTGTTTGTTTTGAGAGGAGTCTCATACTGTCGCCTGGGCTGCAGTGCAGCGGCACCATCCCAGCTTACTGAAACCTCCGCCTCCCGGGTTCAAGTGATTCTCCTGCCTCCGCCTCCCGAGTAGCTGGAATTACAGTCACTTGCCACCACGCCCAGCTAATTTTTTTGTATTTTTAGTAGAGACGGGGCTTCACTATGTTAGCCAGGCTGGTGGCTGTAATCCCAAAGTGCTGGGGTTTAGTAAAGCTCTGGCTTTACTAAAAGCCATTGAACTGCTGTGGATGCTAGGCCAGCTGCCACAACACCAAGTCCAGCTGATGTTCCACGTGGCTGCTGGACGTCAGAGATCACTTTTCTCTTTTTACCCAGTACCCGACAAAATTGTTCATTTTCCTACAGAAGGCTCAAGGAAGGAGTGATCAAGTACATTAGAATTTCACGAGTAGCAAAGAACATGTAAAATGTATTGGCAATGAATACAGAGTCTTGAATTTTGCCCCAAATCATCTTCTGACTTATGACTCACACTTCAATGTATTTTTTATTTTATTTTATTTTATTTTATTTTCAAGATGGATCCTCGCTCTATCACCCAGGCTAGAGTGCAGTGGTACAATCTTGGCTCACTGCAACCTCCGCCTCCCATATTCAAGCAATTCTCCTGCCTCAACTTCCCAAGTAGCTGAAACTACAGGTGCCCGCCACCAGGCCCGACTAATTTTTTTCTTTTTTTGTATTTTTAGTAGAGACAGGGTTTCACCATGTTGGCCAGGCTGGTCTCCAATTCCTGACCTCAGATGATCCACCTGCGTCAGCCTCCCCAAGT